AAAAAATATAATCATAAAAAAATTAACTATATGTATTTTGAAATTTTTCAACTTCAATAAATATATTATAAAGAGACCCTTAAACGATTTTTGGATTATAGCTAAATCCCACCGCTGCCACCAATGGCATGAGCACCACGATTTATTGACTATGATGCTGAGTTATATTTTATATTGTATCTTCAGTTATATCCGAAAGACGACAATTTGTCGTTCCCTTCTATGTAGTAGGTGAAAACCAATGATGTTTCGTAGGTATATTTGGTGATTGTTTAGAAAAGAATACACACTTTAATTTTTTTTGCTTTTACGCGTGTAAAAGCAAAAAAGTGATTAGACACCTACATCTAGCTATTTACTATATTATAGTTAACATAAAGACTACCTTTATTCTAAGTTAAGCGTAGTGTTGGGTACATAACAGCTAATATCTGCGCAACGATATTTTAATTTTCTTATCTAAAACATCAAAATAATAATGTAAAACTTCAACAGATCTAACTTTTATTGTAAGTAAATCTAATATAGTACACGATATGTTTTTTTTTATCATGATATAGTTAAATTTTTTTTTTTTATTGTTTTGCTGTATAATTTTATTCACAGTCTCCTTATATGCATGTAATATATATAGGTATATATATACATACATGCATACATAAAGACATTACATGTGATACATTTTTAATATAATATATCGAAATCGTATTATAATAATATGCATGAGCATTGTGCATCATATTACATTTTAATATTATTTAGTGATATTTGGTCATTTTACCTTTGCCGAGAACGCACATACTGGCCGAAAAAAAATGGATAGTTCCGTAGAAATTGTAGCCACATATAATAACAATATAATATTATTCAATATCATGCGCCCGCGCTCATTTATTGATTTCGACCGATTGATTATGATATACGTCGCAGAGTTCGAAATAATAATCAACAATWAGTAATTCGCAACGATATTATCACACGACGGACCGAAAAATAATAATATCACTTATATAGGACGGCGTGTACGCAACTACGACTTACGCACGTAATAATAATAGTCTTATGTGTCTTTTAAACGCGCACGCAACATTGATCATTACAGGCACACACTTGTACAGAACGTTTTACTTTGCGCGTGTCGCAGCTCGGACGGAAACTCTATATGTACACATGTGGGAAGTTTTGAAAAAAAAATAATAATATAAACATACATGGCTTAAAAAATTATAAAACTTATACATATATATGTGTGTGTGTGTGTGTGTGTGGAAAAAACTTGTAGAGTGAAATAAACAAATAAAACGAGCCCGAGTCTCTATAGGCAAAACGAAATTAAACGTTTATAATGTTTTTTTTTTCACGCAGTTCAACGATATAGTTGTTATAAAAGAAAACGATTGATCTTGTTGTGTTCTTGAAATTATAAATTGTACACGATATCTGTTTATTTGTCGTATTTTCGAATACCAAAATAAAGAATAGCAATATTTCTGTCCGGCGGTATTGGATTTACGGCGTAGCTGCAAATAATAATTGATATGTTCAACAAAACGCTAAATCGCCAGTCGTCAGTAAGTGAAATATAATAATAATAATCGTACCTATATCATACTAATCGCGACTAGCGTATGATTTTATATACAGGGTGTTTCTGAGTTTTCAATTTACAAACTGCGACTCGCAGTGATCCCACGCGTCAGTGGGCGAAATGCAAGACCTATATTTTTTTGATTTTGTCAATGCGAGATTTTTTAAATACATAATAACATCATGGAAGTGATCGTATTGTTTAGGTTTAAATAGGTTACAACATTGAAATATACTATACGATGAGAAATTCCTTCCCAAAATCATCGTGTTTGACACGACGATTATCGTAAAATTTTCTTAATCTTTTTTTTATTATAATAATTATCAATGAACTGATAATTTAAGTTATAACATTATATAAGTAGTCATACCGTAATTACACTTAAAAATCTCTCGCGTTCGTAAAATATGTTTTTGATTTTACATTCCGGAATCTCTCTTAAAATTTAATTAGAATATCGGAAACACCCTTGGAGCAAAGTGATTATATGTTGTTTTTGTGAGCAGGCATGGATTAACGTATAGGCAAAGTAGGCATTTGCCTAGAGCGCTGAAGTTTTAGGGGCGCTCGAGACGAGAAATAATATAGAATATTAGAATGACATATTTATGGATAACATAGAAACTAACTACACRCACACAAAAAAAAAGRTCAATATGTAATTCAAAAAATATTATAATATTATGAAATTACGTAGACATAATACTATTAATAAAATATATTAGTTATAAAAATACGTAATTCCCTTCCAATTATTTAAAAATAAATGATTAGATGTGGCCTGTGTAGCATTTGAGAAAGCAGTATGTTGTTAACAGGATAGTGATAATAATGGTAATATCCCATAATAGATGTAATATCTTGTGATAAATAGTAATAATAATATTGTTCCGTACGTACCACAGAAATACAGAATATCGGTAATCARTATTACSTGATAATTCCAGATGTTCTGTGATAATACTTTTGGTGAGGCATTAGATGGAATCTTTCCAAATGTGGAAATAATTTTAAGAATGTACTTAAGTACTGCTGTTTCTAATTGTACGGGAGAGAGGTCTTTTTCGGTGTTAAAAAGAATGAAAGATTATATGAGATCTTCAATGAAAAATGACCGTTTAAATGCACTTTCTCGATTACGACAAGTATTATTGAGTCAGATTAATTAAAAATACTAAATTTAGATGAAATTATAAATTGGCACATCAAAATCAAGAAAAAAAAAGTTTCTCTAATAAGTTGTATAATATAATAATTAAATATAATATAAATTTCATAAATGTATATTCATAGTTCATACCTACCTTAAAAAAATATATTGTAATATTAGTAAGTTTGTAACATTACTTTTGTGTATAAATATTTATAAGTTGTATTAAAGAAATACAGACAACATACATAGGTAATATATAATATGAATAATGAGGATAAAATTATTGAGATATCAAAGACCTGCTAACCTATAAATTATGAAGTAAAACAGTTATATACCTAGTATTAAGATTAGAAAAAAAATTAAGTATATAGAGTAACATGAATCTTATAAGGGCGCCTAAATTGTTTTGCCTAGTTTATAATTTTGGCTTAATCCGGCCCTGTTCGTGAGTATGAAATAAAACAAGTTTGCGCATTTAGATATCAGAAAAAAACCACATTTACTGTGAGCAATTCCATTTTGTGTCAGAGCCGAATTCGACGAAAAAACAACATCCCAGCACACAGCTATAATATTTAATGTCCATTTTGTTCGCCATCACTCCTGGCTGCAAATAAGACCGCTGCGATCTTACATCCCCCTCGTGCGTGCAACATCGTTCGCACTTATCATAGTATAATTAATGACGCCAGGCGAGCGTCATGAATTTTGTGCTTTTATTTTATTAATAAGTATATAGAAATATTTTTATTACGTCTTAAAATTGAAACGATCCAAAATTACTATCCATAGATGTAGTAGGTACTCGCTGTAAGAAAATAAACATTTACTGAGAAAATTTGAAGTTATAATATTCTGTTTTATATGTATAATATTATTAAATAAAATTAACCTTATTTTTAGGGAAATTCTGGTTCGGACACCTAGATTAAAGATTAAAGATATTTTATAAATAATTTAAGCCCTACGCCAATCGAAAATTAATTAGAKGTTTTGAATTTAATAATATTATGATTTAAAATACCAATCGACAAAACTACACACCCGAATTTTAATTTTAATGTTGTATTATTATACGAAAATGGTGGAACAAGTACTTACTATGATTTTATGTTTTAAATAATTAAAATTAGAACAAAGTTTAACAGATTAAACTGTATTGTGTTATTATACAAAGTATACAGCTTTAAAATAAAGACAAACGATTTCTTCAAAGGGAAAATATAAAAAATAGGCGTAATAAATCCATAAAAGATGTAATATTTTTATTTTACAAACAACACTATAGTTAKAAAAAATAATATGTTCAAAAGTAAATAAGCTAAATAGTACAGATAAAATTGTTTGCCTGTTTTAACTGAGTAAAATGGCGTACAAAAATTACATTAAACGATTTAACTGGCCCCAACATATTATTGCGTCATAATAATTATAACTTATATAAAGTATATGATTTTGAGCGCCGAATCGTCGTTGTAAATCGAATTAAATAAAAATATTTATGTACCTATCTATATATWATAAATTATAATATCATAATGTCATGAAGTAATTAGTCTATTTGTACAAACATAAAAGCAAACAAGATACCAAAACAAAATATTATAAAAATCCGCAAACAGGGTACAAATGAAAATTAAAGATATTGCAAAAATATTATTTTGTTATGGACAGCTCGGTTATTATGTTTGTTAGATAGTTATTATAGATTCTGCATGAATTAACCGATTATATTGATTCCAGCTGTAATCTCACTACGAATAATAATATAAAATATTACCTAATTAAATACCAACGATCAAATCATTATCGGCGGGCCCTGAACAATAACCGTTGCATGCTTAATACTCAAATAATAGCTCATTCGGTAAATATGGAAATGTACATCGACCTTTACTTATTCTCTAACAAACACTATGAACAGAGAGTTCATTCTCTATGTCTGATTATTCAAAAAAATGTCTAGTATACAATATGATGATTGTTATGTACCACCTACGGTGTTATGCTGAACATTATACATTTTCAACAATTGATTATTATTATTAGTGTCAGAGATAAATTTAAACGTCACAACTAATGTTAAGTCGTCTTCCACCATTACGTCCAATATGATGAAATAAAATAGAATTACGAAATTTCCAACACAGTTCGTTTACGTACGTCTCCCCAACCCCTTCACATTGGAATTTTCAAATTTTTTTTTGGCAAATATTTTGGCAATAATTTGCGAATTAGCATGTATTTGCATGCTTGGTCCCGCAACTTTATCGCCATCCGTTGGTTTGCAAAATCCTTTTTCCTGATTCTCACGTGTCGATCAWGTTGGTACCGGCACAATACACTAGGACTATAATTATAATATCAAAAAATTRCTAGGAATTTGCTARATTTTGCTAGATGATTTTTGGAATTTGCTAGATTTTGAATTTTCTGGAAACCCGGAAAATGAAAAACGTCTCAGCACCGGTACGTTGTCCAATCGATGTTCGTCAAGTTGGCACCGGCACTTAGTGCTAAAACATCAAATCATATATTATTAATTTKCTATGAAATTTTCAGAATTTGCTACTAGCTTGATTTCCYGGAATTCCGGAAACAAACATGCCAGTGCTATCTTGACRTAGAATCGGCACATTCCTTAATAATCGACTCAGAATGGTATCAAAAATTTGCTACTGTCTGTTTTTTCCGGAATACCGGAAAAATGAAAATTTCCCAGCACCAGGACTTGGCACCAGCATTTTTAGTTTTCCGGTAATCCGGGAAAACCAGACTGTAAAATATTCTTAAAATAACGTAGCGAAATGTCGATACCAATATTTTGGTATTCGAACAATGTGCTGGTGATGGGAAATTTTCATACAAGAATTTTAAAATAGATGATTTTTATGTGTGTGTGTGTGTGGGGAGGAGGGGTCAGAGACACGTTTCTACAGACCCCCGCCTATTTTTCGATATCACGCTTATACAAGCTAATTACAAAAGTTAGCATGCAAATACATTCTAATTATATATGCTAATTGTATGCCAAAAAAAATTTGAAAATTCCAATGTGGGGGGGGATACGTACGTAGTTCGTTTTATTTCGCGATATTATCGTATAACGTTAAATTATATATTTTTGATTATTTAATTAAATTACAATATCTTTACCTATATCTTTTTATTACATCATTAGTGTAGCATTATAATAATAGTTGTAAACCACCATTGTGAACGAATAGTATGCGATAAATAATATAGTAGGTAATGATTTTGGCATTCTGCGTCATTATTTTTTCGTCAAMCTAGAAAATAATAATAATACGCGAAATACATGCATGTTCCTTTTGATAATTTTACTCATACATGGTGAGCCACCAATTTTTTTCTTTACGTTCTCTTTGTAACTTTAAGACAACTAAATAAAATATTTAAAAAATTAATAAATTTAACTAGTAAAAATATAATGCAAATTTCTTCGATGAAAATTTCATAGAATAGTATTATATTTTTTTCTATTAACATGTGAAATAAACTAAAAAGTTTAACCTACTTTTCAACAGTATAAATAGTTAAAATAGTCTAATAGCTACTCGTATCTATACAAATAAAAGCTATAAACAAAGTTTGTCTTTCAATTTATTAAGCATAAGATTATTATTGCTTTATTCAGAAAATGTTTGTGTTAAGTTACAACAAACTTTGTAGTTTCTGTATTACAAACTTCTTAAYGAAAAAATAAACCCTGCAAGTTGATATAACTAATAACGAGTAGCATTGAAGATATTTGACGAGTTACTTAATGAGAATGTTACACAGTCAAATTTTAACTTCTTAAAAAGTTAATTTGTTATTTGATAAGTGGGTTATAATCATTGATTTACATAGAAAAACTAAAAATGATTAACATATTTTTTTTTTATTGTTAAATATATAATTTATTGTTGACAGTTTATTTTTGTTTGTTCGGAATAGATTTCGATAAAGTAACTAAATAACGGAAGTTAATTATAAAACATAATTCGTAATATGTCCCTATATTTATTTTTGTTAATATATTTGCTAGTTGGTTGACTAATTGGAAAGCATATATTATAATACTCGCTGTATACTTTAATAATAACTTTAAAACTAATTTAAACAAACGATCACAATTATTGATATGAAACAAAGATTTATAGAAAAAAGTGATAAAGAATGATTATTTAACGTTAGTTATAAATGAATTGCTATATTTTATCATTTAATGTCTAATAAATCCAACTCAGGACACAAGATATTTACAGAAAGCAATTTCACTGAAAATCGTACATAGTTCCAAGTAGAGGGCAAAAATAATCTAATCCGTACTAAGTACCGATTCTGAAAGGTAATTTTTAAATTTAGAACAAAAAATAAATATAATTAGGTCTATAAGCGATTCCCCGCCAAAAAGTAAATAAAATAAAAGCAAAAAAGTCTCCCRCCCCAAAATCCATCAACTTGACACTCCCTTATATTTATGGCAATACTTATAGAAACGCCTCGAAAGTTTTACAACACTAAATTTTTAGTAAGGATTACGTCTAAAACGTACCTACAACGTTTAAAGATTAATTTATTTTAATGTACTCGTAAACTACACATATTATTTACATCGTACCTATACCTATATACTGATCCCGGTTGGACTAAATAGGATAGTATATATTGTACGTCAGGTTCAAGTTTTTTAAAATTGTTAAATTCAATAATGCGATTGTAATAATGATTTAATGTTTCAAAGCTTTAAGTTTTATTTTTTAAGGTRGATACCTCATACCTAGCATTTTCTATAAAATATCATATTTTTAACTGGTATGCCTTGTAGTTTTACTTTTTAAACGTATTTCATCCACTCTCTGCTTTTTATTAGATATATGACCAACCATTTATCGATTAAAATCGAGTATAAATAATTAAATTATGTCACATTAAAATTTAAGYACATGTGTTATACCTTTTTAATTACTAAGTATGATACAATACTGTAAAACAATCCACATGTTTAGTTTCATAATCTTCTCATTGTAGTCTAAGACTAACTTTTCGGTTTTCAACAGCTGTCTTTCTTATCATACCGTCTCTGTTATTTTGTCACTGAAGACGTTTTCTTTTGTTTTATAAAGCTGCGTAGGTGTACCATAATTTGAAAGCAAAGTTACTGATGCACTTGAATTGTAATACTATGAATATCTAGGTAGGTACGTAAGTTTCATAGAAAATAAAGATAAAATATACTTGAACAAAAGTGTTTCGGAAAACATAGACCATAGATGTTCGGCAAATTAAAATTAAAATTCATATTGACATCACGATGATTACATTTTAATTGTATTTTTAAAGGGGATTTTTTCTGGATAATTTATTATACCACTGATATTTTATTTTTATTTTAATCAACTTATAATGAATGWCATAAACCGTTATTCAATTAYTATTAATAATGTTTATAGAGTTATTTACGTGTACAATTTATTGAACTCGTTGTCATTATATTTTAATGTTTAGTGTTTACATAATTGACTACRTTTAAAAAAGACTTCCTACGTGTTTAATCATGACATCACTTTTGGTATTAATCACGAATTATATTAATTATAAATATCTATAACGTCATTATATCAAATTRAATCTCACTAAAATAAATAAACGACGATACATGAACTTTTTATATGATTTTTTTTCCTAATCAGAAAAATGTTTGTTCCAAYACTCTGTTTATCTAGATTTCAAATTTTAATACACWTTAAGTATAATGWTTATTAAATCAACATTCCAAACGAAAAGATCCAACTTTACGATTAGAAAAATAATTAGAAAAATCGRAATATTTCATAATCGAATAAAATCTCATATTTCCCCACGGAAACATTTGCCTGATTAGGTTTCACATAATTGAATAAGTAGTACATACAATATATGCGCTTATAAAAATCACATGGGGGACGAGGTGGCCGWGCGGTTTAACGCGTAGGCTGTGGCTCAGCCGGACCGGGTTCGATCCTCGACCATCGGGCGACATTTTTCTCCGGGCAAGTCACGGTGTCCGGAGAACAAGGGCAGTCATCCCCCACTCCGGGGTATGGCAGAAACCTACGGGTGYCCCAATAGTATTTCTGCCAAAACTCTCACCCACGTGTAACTAACCTTACCGTTCCATAAAACCTATAGTAGTACCCCCTTCCCAATGGCCGTAGTTGCCGCGGGATAATTTAAAAAAAAATTACAAATTTTACAAAAATTGAATATTTAAATATGATTTTTTTCGTCTTTCATCTAAAAAAAAACATTTTGATTTTCACAGGACACCGATACTAACTCAACGACWGACTCGATCGTGTGGCCATCGTCGACTCGGCGGTTCAGCTCGGGTGACTGCGAAATCTTAGGACACGATCAGACGGCCGACGATGACACGTGGTACCCACGGGTGGTATCGTCCTACGCGGTCACCGAGAGGGTCAACTGGTTGAGGCATCTGGAAGCGGACGCGGAACACAGGTGCCRTCGGTCACCAGCCGCCGTTAGACGGTGGTCGCGGGCAGTACAGGCGGTGGATCATGACTATTACGGGAGCGAGGACGTGGACGAGGCGTTCTTGCGGCGGAAACCGGTTTCGTTTGTGATATTCGGCAAGCCCGGTTTGGCGGATGACAGACTGGCCACAATGTTATCAGCGCACTGGGGATGCGTCCACGTGTCCGCGGCCACCGGGCTGCTAGCTGCCAGTCTCCGGCCAAACGACCAGATAGGTTTGGCGTTACGGCGCGGTGAAGCGGTAAACGCCGCGGATTCCACCTCACTGCTCGTTAGCCTTTTGGGTATCGGAGGGATTGAGGTACAAGAAAGGGGTTACGTGCTGACCGGACTTCCCAGGTAACTCTACAATCGTATATCTAAAAACGTTAAATATATACCTGTGGGCTATGTTTGATCAAGTCATATTCGATCTAGAAAAGGAGATTGCAAAACATTGCTTTCCTAATTATTTTAGAGTACTACAATATTATTATATGTTGGTACTATATGTTGGTATTAACTTTTGGTGATATTTTTCTCGCACCAGGCAGAATCCGAAACTGAGTGCATGTGAACAAATGGCTGCGGTGTTCACTACAAATCCACCAGACGTATTGATTTATATGAGCTGTCGGAATCAGGATTTAAGCCATATACATAATGGATTGACTTTAGAATCTATGGAACATGATCATCTTACTCAAACACTACATATGAATGATGTGGAATGCAACCACAAACGAGTACATTGGTACAATAAGTTATTTATAAACAAGAAGGTGATTGAACTGGATGTGAAGGATTATGAAAATTATTCGATGAGAGTAATTGACGAAATAATAAAGCAGTTCAATCCAGAACGCGTGATAACCTTGGACGGTAGAAAACCAGTCAACGAATTGATAGAAACAATTAAAACAAAATTAATGACGATGTCACTGCAATACACAGTATTACCGAAAATCGTACAGTTCCAGGATAAATCAGTTTCGTCCAAAAGTTACGCGTATAGTGGTTCTGAATTCGAATTTGAATCGGAATCAAACGAGGCGGAAACTGCGGCCAGCAAYGAGGAGCGATCGAGCGATATGACCCAATTACACGACGAAAATTTACACAGCATTAATGATCGTAACGAGCAAATACGTGTAACGTCAGAATTTGGTCGTCTGTGCCCAGTGAACTATTTTAACGGTAAATTCATAAAGGGAAGTGTACGTTATTGTATGAAATTTATGGGGAAATCGTATTACTTTGCTGGACCCGATGAAATGCAATTATTCGGTAAATGTCCAAAACAATTTTTGAAAGTCATGGGATATCGATTACCGATTAGAGCCATATTCTATGGTCCACAAACGTTGACGAATCCGGCTGCAAAGGCTGTACGCAAATTCTTAGGTTATAACTTAATAGACGTCGGATACCTAACAGAGATACATGAAAAAGAAACAAGGCACGCGTATTCATCTGTGATTGTTAGCGCGATACTTAAAACCGCACAGAAGATCATTGAACCGAAAGAAATTCAACTTAATGACATGAGCATATTGCGGAACGCAATCGCTGATTGGACACGTCTACGGTTTGATGTTATTATTAAATCTGATTTAAATGGTGTGGAACACGAAGAAAGTGAATACGAAATGTATGAAGATTTTTCAAATCAAAGTAACTATTTTTTTGAAATCTCGTAGAAAACTTCTTAAATGAAATCCATCAAAACTATATACCACTATATAAGTATATTTTATTATAAAATAACTACGAGTATAATATTATACGAAGTTTAAAAATTATCATATCAAGTTTAAGATAATAAAATTAATACTATTTATTTATATGCGTATGATATAATTTGATTATTCCTAAATAAATATTTATTTTAATCTTTTATAGTTTAGAATAAAATACATCAAGAATTAAAAAAAATACTTAATAACTACTTATAACATTTTAAACCATAGTAATTTAATAACTTTTAAATTAAATTGATAAAAATTATTTAATTTTCAAGACTAATAATTAATATACATGAAAATAAATAGTTTATTTAAATTATGAATTATTCCAGAAGAACATGACGTGGAAGAATTATTCAAAAAGAGGCAATTAATGCGTCTAAAAAACTACTTTGAATCATATGACATAGATTTTTTAGATGATTCCAATGAATGCATTCGTGCTTATGATGAACCAGAAAGCCTGAAAAAATATTTTCTAAATATGTCCAAAAACAATAGAAAGATTTTTAGGAGTAGCATCATTAAAAAAAAAAAAATTATTCAACCTGATTTATTAAATGTTATTGTTGATACCGTACGAATAAAAAACCAACTAAACATAAATTGGGTTATAGTGAACGCACCAATAAATGTTGTATTAGTGAACAAATTAATTGATGAAGGCCTTAATCCAATCCAGATGATATTTTTTCATGATTCCGATCCAAATCACAGTGTACTATTATCAAATGACGAAATGTCCGACAGTTTTCGAAATAATTATAAGAACATTTTAGAAAATTTGAAAATTGGCAAAAAACATGGAACTGCAGTTGAAAGAATAAAATATCCAGAATTTTTCAATGAAAATGAAAATCCGTTAGATATTTCTTATGAAAGAATAACTAAAAATGATTCTTTTGAAGAAGAAATTGAAATTGCGGAACATGAGGAAGATAAAGACGTGAATTACATAAGTCACGATCACCTATTGGGAATAATCGTTCCAGAAATAACTGAGCGATTAAATCAATATACGGAAAATCTTCTCGTACAATGGCATACTTTAAAAAAACAAATTTCTAAAGAAACAAACCAGAACATGAATTTTAATACTATAGAATGTAGACCCAACTCTACAACAAATTTGCTGAAAATATTAATCGAAGACACTTTATGTTATATAAAGAAGTAAAATTATAATTATAATTTTTAATTTAGTTTTGTTCGAATGTTCATCGTTTTAAATATTATAAAATTATTTGTTTAGGTTTTTGACAGATAATGTATACGATATATCCACATCAGATATCGAGGAGACTGTTCCCACGAGAGGAAAATATGATGGTGATACTTCCATCTATTGCCCCGTTAGGTTTGCAAATGGTAAACTGTCTATAGGGTCTAAAAAACACATGGCAATCTATCATAATAGGTATTACTACATGAGCTCGTTAGACAATTTTAAAGCCTTTATTTCTAATCCTAATAAATATACGTTGTTCACTAGTATCCCAAAAACATACCCTAAACCCAAAATATCTTTACTTTTTTCATTTGGTCTCAGTTCAGTAGATTTGATTAACGAAATATTAAAAACATTTGATTTGACTCTTGTAGACTCTTATAAAGTATTTAAACAAAACGTATTACCAAAAAATTTGCCAATGGTGGGTAAAATGTATGAGGAACCGACGCTTAAAGAAATTGTGGATAAATGTTTTATTCATGTAAATCATAAGGATCATATTAACAGCCTGAGAAAATACATGGATAAAGAAAGTGCTTACTTAAACGATGAGGACTGGTTTAAAATGAATTCGATATTTTTTCAAGCCGATGAAGGAATATGCTATAAAAATTACCCAAAAAGTTTGACGGAACTGAAGTATCTAAAAGAAAATGAAATAAACCCTGACGTTATTATTGAAATAATTCCTGAAAAACACATCGCAAAAGAACACGCCAACGCATCAGTCATTCAAAATTGGTTGACTTACCAATATGTATTAATAGAAATGATCATTGCGCAGGATAACGAGACAAGGCGAAACACTGTTAACAACAGATCAATATTGTTTAAACAAAAACTAGCGGAGTTAACCAAACAAAAAGAAATCAACAAAGTAAAAATTCGTTTAGAGGGTATAATCAAAATGATTGCAGCAGAAACAATGGTAGAAGGACCAAAAGTGGTGAAATCCATTTGCGACAGTCAAAATCAATCGAATAAATCTTTTCGTAAATCTGCAACTGTCCCCATTTCAGATTTTTTATCCAGATATTCAGAACTTACGTTAAAACAGAAAAAAATCATCATTGACCGCGGATTAAATGTAGGCGATTTCATGGATTTGGACGACTTTACGACATTGGATGAAATCGACGAGACGGTCAAAGACAAATTCCCTGACGACGACTACATGATATCCAAATGTTTTTCAGATGGCTTTGCATTCCCGTCAAATGCCATGATTGAGAGATTCCTGGACATGGAGAAATCTGCGTTGGCAGAAATGCGTAAGTTTGCCGAAAACTCCAACATTCCGTGGATAATGATTTCTGATCCGGATGCCCGATCGGCTGCGATGAGTGATATCGCCGATGTGTTGAAGATAAACACCGACGCGCCTTTCGAGTCACCTTACGAAGTGGATCTGGAGACCACAGAGGAAATGTTACGCAATGGCGAAGTGCACCTGAGCCGGTTCGGTCGGTGGTGCCCGGTGCAGGCAGTACGGTATACAGCCAACCCAAGCATCAGACGATTCTGTCCAGATCCAGCTGACGGTCACGTCCACACGGTCGTCCACCGCAAGTATGTGTACTTTGTAGCCGGTGGTATAAATAACAGGGACGAGTTCATGCGGTGGCCTATGAAATACGTGCTCGCACAGTCTACGATGCCACTACCGCGACCGAGTTTCCAATTAAAGATCGCAGTGGTCGGACCACCCAGAAGCGGAAAGTCACGTTGCGCACAAGAACTGTGCTCCCGGTACGGACTGCAGCTAATCCGAATTGAGGACGCCATCGAAACGTACCTGACGGAGTACCGATGGACGGACATGGCGAAAACAGCCAAGGGCACGCTACGCCGGGGTGATGCGTTGTCCGAGGAAATGCTGGTAGAAGTTGTGACTACGGCTATGTTCGACGGCCGAGCCACCACGTGGGGCTACGTGATCGACGGGTACCCAGTGACCAAGAAGCAGTTCAAGCTGTTGGACGGTGCCGGGGTCATTCTGCACGCGGTGTTCGTTTTACAAGATAACGGTCTGCCGGAAGAAAGCATCGAAAACGACACTGCATTGTTGCGGCTCAGACGCGGCGCTTGGAAGACGGCGTTTTCAGGTCTACCTTGGATATCAGCCCGATACGGKAACGCTACCGGTTTTGCGGCCACCGACACCGATGGGATGGCCGAGGCCGCGTCGGCGTGCGTCCGGTCGATGCTCGCGTACCAGACGGACCTCCACTGCAACCGCCCAACCCGGCTGTCGGGCGTGCCAGTAACGGGCCGAGAATATCAGTATGACCTGAGCACCTTCCTGGACCAGTGTCCGGTGTGCAAGGTAGACTGCGACCGCTTGTTCCGGCCACTAAATCCGGCGGTCATGAGGCGGTCCTCGGTTCAATACCAGGCGTATATCTACTGGATGTGCGGCCCGGAACACGAAGCCGCATTCGCCGATAATCCAGATCGGTACGCYGACGCGGCACCCATCACGCCTTACCCCCATCCGGAATCCACCACCGACAGTATGCTGTCCCGGAACCCGTATTTCATGTATAGTCTGTCGTCCGAGTATTGCGCGGTATGCGTGCTATCGTGCCTGTGGTATCCGGAGTACAAACGCGGACGTCCCGAGCTAATGGTCACCTACGGTAATCGCTCATACACGTTCTGCTCGTCCCAGTGCAAACGGGAGTTCTCGCAGCAGCCGTCCATGTATGCGGAGTACACGATGCGCGTCAGTGGCCCTGAACAACCGTTATCATCGTCAACGTGGTCCTGGAGCCAGGACCAATTAGACAGACTGCCTGTACCTGGCTACYTGGAACAGACCGTGTCCGCRCTCGTCAGTTCGGCGCTGACCGAGTTGACAGCCATCAAGCCCGTATACCCGGGCCTGACGCTCGAGGTTTCGGCCATGCTGTATTTAGGCCTGCACRTCGGCATGAACGGCAGCTGTGACAAAGACGTGGCCGAGTACTACCGCAACGCTTTCAAGCGGTTCGTAGAAACCTGTCAAAGTTTCAAAATTGAGTCGCTCAAATTGAAATCGTTGATGTGAACAATATTGTATGGCTTTATCTTATGCGCACCATCCGGATGTATTTAAAGTTTTGAATTATAAGTTATAACTCTAAATMAATCATTGATAATTCGTTACGAAGACTGATAACTTAATTATAATTCAATACTGATCCAARTTTAAGTATGTAAACGTTTTCAGCTACTTGAAGTTAAATCGGTAATATAATTGAAATAAAAATATATACAGCGGTTCTTAGACATGTCTAACTTCATGGACCCCGAGGACAAACTTCTTCAAACCATGACCTGGTTCCCCTTCTTCCGTGCCTCACTTCATTATTTCCTTTAGAATAACCACTTTAAATTCTCAAAGGACCAATGAATATATTGKTTTTASAATGATAAGGAYTTTCTCTCCTGTTTGACATATTCACCTTTTATGGAAGTAAAATGCTACAATTTTCTACTTTAACATCTTTTCTGATATCCAGTTATTATTTTAAGGAGTCAAAATTAACAAATTCCAATTATTTTCAAAAACATCGGAAAAAATGTTTACAAATTTATAAGTAAAACTAATTAAAATAATATAAAATTTATAAAATAAACTTCCTTTGAATTTAAAATAACCTTTTAAAAAAAAATATTTTTTACGATAACTCTCATATGTTTAACAAAATAATGTAAGATTACTAAATCAGTAAAAAAGTTGCAATAACTCCAGTTTAAAATAATAATATATGCATTCGAATATATTTATTACAGTTATTGCATTATTGCACACGCAGGTATTTTAGGCACCACAGTCTCTAGGCATGGATGCGGCAACCCCTCGAGTACAACGAATCACAGTTCAAGAAATACTGTTATAAAGGTATAAAAAAAAAAATTATGAAAGTAAAACAAAAGTATCTTTAATATTTTAACTATTAATAACGTTTAAAATTAATAAAATAATCAATAAATTGGTTTATATTTCTTTTTTCAACAATAATATAATTATATTATACTATGTATATATAAAATACAGTGTGTTAAATTCATTTATCGTAGGCAGTTTAAATCACCGACTTAATATTCATAACACATCGAATCATAAATTCAAGTCCTTATAAAATCAATGAAACGTTATGAGGCCACTTTTTAGTTTAAAGCACGTAATATTTTTTCGTTAGATCTTTGAGTACGAATTTTAATATGACATGGAACGGGCCAGTTTGCGATACGATTTCAATGGAATTCTAAGTATACGTGATGAATGTATTAATATTGTCATTTGATAAAATTCAATTCCACAGACTAAATTTAAACGTTTTGAATAGTTCAAAAAATTATTACAATAATAATAATTAATCTAGTCATAAAAAAAAAAAAAATGAATGAATGAAGAGGCTGTGAAAAAATGTAAAGGACTGCAATTGACGCGTACTTTAATGTAAAAGCTTGAACGAGTTTAATCGGCAACGCTGTTTTTACAACACACWATCAAACTAAATTTCTACTGGAAATAAAAGACCTAACAATGGCACTTAGCACTCGAGAACAAATTACAGCAATTATTATACAGAGCTTGCAATTTTTGCTCGTTAGGCGGTATGTTTTAAACGTAATTAGACATACGGTCTGGGCCCGTCGAAAATAGACATTTTTCATGGTGAAATTMAATTAAATTTTATAAAGATGATATGTCGACTATAATAATAAACGACTAAACGACGGATACGACAAAAATGYCTTTATCGTACGACTGCGTTATATCGTAGGTACATCACGGGGAACCGAACACTGTACATTATTATAATATATTATTATTTATTACTACCTACAGCACACTAWTACATACAACGATATTATCATATTATAAGGTATAAAATTAATTCGRCGTCTTACCTCTTACAAGACACCGGAAGYAGAAACGCGTCCGAAGCGGATTCACACGGAGGCTCTAGGTCTTCGCACTCCACCACCCTGATCACCGGCAACATTTAAGAACGCTGCAAAAACCAACACCATACGGTACACTGAGGACGATTGTCGTACGACAACAAACGCTTAATAATAATAATTATAATAATAATATTATTATGATATAATATTATATTTTTTCGATATCGAGAAAACGAAAACACATTCGCACATGCACGCACGCGAACACACGCCAACTCGAAAGAAATCTATTTCATTTAAGCAAACACGCTAAAATACACAAGCCGCTGCAAAAACAATAGCGGACCAACGACGAAGGAAGACCTGAAGCAAATGAAAAGAAAAAAAATCAAGCATAATGATAATATAAACACTCTGTTGAACAGACTACAAACGCACATGCTAATACGTATAATATCATATTATGTATTCTAATCTCGGATGCACACCACGGTCCGTTGTTGTTGTTGTGATTAGAAAGCGTCCCGAAAGACGAATAATAATGTACACATTCGCCGGCGATCGTCGTATTCTATAGCCATCGCGTACCTAACCTATTATTACCTATATTATGGTCAGTAATAGTTGTCGGTATGTGGCCGCTGTCGACGGTATTGGTGGGACTCATCGGTCACCAAAGGGAAAATAATTGCACTACTATAATATTGTAGGGCGCATTGTTGCTTTAAAGCTCGTAAATAGTAAAACGATTCGTACATGCTTTTTTTTTTAACTATACATCAAAATCTACTATTTCTGGCAGTTAAGTACTTTTTGGAGTCATTATTATAGTTTATTAATTTAAAATTAAGCTATTGATCAGTTTCGTCCAAGTGGGAATAGACACAGCTTCACTTATTGTTTTAAAGATATTTTACGAAAAGTCAAACACTCGTCATAGGATACAAAAATACATCGAATTATCGTCAACTGTTATTTATTAGAATTATACTATATTGTGTTCGTGTTTTTTATTATTAAACATTGCACAATATTATAACAAACGTATTATGGAGACTACAAAAACAATTATAATTTGTTTGACAATTCAAACATAAGATTTATTTTWAAAAAAATTGAGCCCCGCCTTTCAAMAATATTTAATTTAATCTCAGCCTAATGTTATTTGGCACATTTTATGGGCAAGTATGAAGTAAATGTGCAAAGAATCGAAATGGATTTCGGATCCTGAATGGAATACACATTGGTTGTTCATTATATCGGATCACCAAGTGCATTTTTCAAAGCGAATCGGATGTAGACGATTGCAGTGTGTACTTCATGGAATAGGTCATTTTTCGTTTTCATAATATTATAAAACGTCAGGAAAAACCACTGATAAATGGTGAAATTAACATTGCCCACTMATTTTTCATAAAAACGATCTAGATCTTTTTTCCCGAGACATTCRATCCCGGAGACTAGAAACTCTCACTAGTTATTATTCGTATAATGTCGATGTACACGTCATAATWATAAAAAAAAAAACAAAAATTATCTGATTGGATCTTTAAAAACAAATAAAAGAGGGACTAGACAAAAGCCATAACGATGTATGAAACCGTAACCTCAGTTTAAAAATCCGATAATCTTGTATTTTAATTACCTATTTATAGACGTGATGAAAATACATATTATAATATTTCCGAAAAATTATCTTACAGATTAAAAATTTATGTTTGTGGTTTACATTCTATTTTATCATTTTGAATTAATAATATACTTTGAAATATTTTAAATTTAAATAATACAATAATACTACAACTTTTATGGCATAGTTAATTTTCGTCACATTTTTATACGATTTGCAATATTTCAATACGTTTCATGTGTATACAATACAAGGTTATTCACATCATACTCATCATATTACGACAATTTTATAATAATCATAATTCATAATATATATAATATTATATTAATTACATATACATATACGTATACGTATATTATGTACTTTGAAAATCTTTACTCGTGAATTTATTTTTAATCACACAATATTCAATGCGTAGGCAATTTGAAAAATGTCCTCTAAACGCTAAATAGTAAACTTAACCGAAAATTGGTTTTCAAATGCGATGACCGATGATTTATCATTTTTTTTTCATCACATAATATGCCAAGGTCAACGAAACAAGACGTGCGTGGTGTGCTCGACGTCATCAAGTCTCTGTGCCTATAGTTCTCGCCTAAGTACGTTTATTCTTTTTTTTTTATTAAATATTGCACTCGTTTCATTGAACTTTCAATGTGTAGTAACGCAGTCTAAATGCGGAAAATCAACGTTTTGGTCTGCCTTTAATGACGCGGTTTAATGGTTTAAAAAAATACATTCATTAAGGTTCAACGCCAATGATTATTAAGCATACCTACTTTTTATTAGATATATTGAATAAAAAATATTATAACATTATCTAAAATCCGTGATGACACAAATTTTTTGTTTTAGATTCTGAACGAAGTAATAAATGTATTGATTTTACAATGATATGAGTTTTAGATTCTGAACGGAGTGATGAATATTATATTGATTTTACAATGATGTGTTTTTTTTTTTGTGTCTGTGTACAGCATAACTAGTCGAAATAATGCTTCAATTTCAAACTTAAGGGGTGGTTTCCGATGGGAAATTAAATATTCTTGGTGCATTATAGAGGTCAAAAGTTAAMATTTTCCAACAGTTTTCAAAAAAAAATCGAGTGAAACAAAAAAAAAAATGACAGAAAAACGGGAATTTTTACGCAAAACCAGTTTTCGACCAAATCGATTTATTAATATGGTTGTAATTCAAAAACTAATCACTGTAAATACTTGAAATGTTCACCAAATGTTTATGTTAGTGTTATCTATATACAGTATTTTTGAGTTATTTATGGACAACTGAAATTTTAAATTTTTCTGAAAATTTTTTTTTGAAGTGACGATAACATTTTTTTGGCCCTATTAAAATACTTGAAAATTTAATAAAAAGTTTCTCGTAAGTTATTCTTATAGTTATTAAAAAATTATAAGAATACATATGCACAATTTTTTTTTGTTAGCATTTGAATTTCAAATATTGACAAAAAATTCGTCAAAACCATGAATATTTGCAAATTATTTTGTAGTTCA